TCTAAGTTCTCTTCTTATATATTCTCCTAGATTTTCATAAATGCTAGTATTATTTCTGTAATATTCACCACAGTGTTTACTGAATACAGGAATAAGAGTTTAACTCTTTGTGGACTCCTCTCATTTAATGGTAAGAGACTGAATATACAAATGGATAAATGGCCAGACTCTGCTTGACAACAGAACTCTGACTCTAACTGCTGTAGCAAATAAGCCAGAACAGTGAGGACGTGGTTCATGACTGCCCAAACCAATATGCTCCCAAACCTGTCATAGAGAATGCTTCCCCTAGCCTGTCTCCAGCTTCCTCAAGCCAATAAACTCCAGTCAGGGCATACTTCAATCTTTCCTTTCTTCTCTCCTTTCCGTCTGCCTCCCTTTCCTGCCTTTGAGTTGCTGTCAAACTGAAAAGTTACGGTGGCAACACTCTTGCTACAGGAAGGTCTGAATCAATCGCCTCTGCTTGGTCACGTTTGGATAGTCTTCATTTATGTTCAGAGTTGGAAATTACTTTGTGAGTACTGGCTCTTTAGTTTTGAATGATAATTGTGTTCTTTTACAAAATGTTGTTTTTAATTTATTTACTTTAAAATGAAGTTATCTGAAAAAAACATAAAAACTATGCTATGACATAAATGAAGAATCCAGCTAAATGAATTCCTCTTGTATCAAGGCAAACAAGTAAAAAGGCATAAAATATATGAGATGACAAGAATTATAAGAGGAAGAAAAATATCACAGTTGGATGTTTTGCTGTTATCACTGAAAGAGAATTTGCATTTTGAACTTTTATTCTTAATAGCAGAATTTTAGTTTGAGAATTAATGGTTGCTTAACTGTAGGTACTGTCTCACATATGCTTAATACCTTTCCACTTGAATATAGCTTTTTGTTCACACAAAATCATTTCACGTGTTCAAAAATGTCACATTTTCAATCCAACAGTAAGAGTAAGGATCCTGATTAATAAGCAGTGTGTTTGTGTGTGTTTTGAAGTACTGCGTGTTCTTAACTATTTTTTTTTGAGACAAGAGTCTCACTATGTCACCCTTGGTAGAGTGCCATGGCATTACAGCTCTCAGCAACCTCCAATTCTTGGGCTTAAGCGATTCTCCTGCCTCAGTCTCCCAAGTAGCTGGGACTACAGGTGCCTACCACAATGCCTGGCTATTTTTTGGTTGCAGTTGTCATTGTTGTTTTAGCTGGCTCAGGCTGGGTTTGAACCCACAAGCCACAGTGTCTATAGCTGACGCTATAACTACTGTGCTATGGGCGCCAAGCCTTAACTTTTTTTTTTTTTTTAACACTTTAAGGGACATCAAATAGCTACTAATGGAATTTATCTCACTTTGCATATTTTGAGACAGAAGGAAGCAGAAGATCTACTTTGGACAGTCTAATGAGAAAACTTTTTATTTTCTGAAATGCTGGAGTTAAATACTTCTTTTCCTATGACTTACGAAATAGAACTGAAAATTTTAAGTTAACAATAGTGGAGTGATTATATCAGATGTTATAATAAAAATTCTATTATTTTTTCAATAGAGGGCCATGAATTTGTTTCAGATGATTGCTAAAATAAAATAAAATACTATGTTTTAGTCTGGGTACTGTGGCTCATGCCTGTAATCTTAGCACTTAAGGAGGCTGAGGCTGGCAGACTACTTGAGGCCAGGAGTTTGAGACTAGTCTGGGCAACATAGTGAGACTCCATCTCTACAAAAAAATTGAATGTTAATCAGTCACGGTGCTGTGTGCATGTTGTCCTATTATTCAGGAAGCTGAGGCAGGAGGAAGCTCAAGTCCAGGAGTTTGAGGTTGCAGTGAGCTCTGGTGATGCCACTATACTTCAGCCTGAGTGATAGAGCAAGACTCTGTCTCAAAAAACAAAAACAAAACAAAAAACCCCACCAACTCTATTCTGTACTGAAATGTCATGAAATAATTCATGCATTTATCAAGTACTTACTGAATGTCTGCAACATGGTATACAAAGTTCTAGGACCTGGGAATCTGTTAGTGAACTAAATAGGCCCTTGCCTTTCTGGAACTTACATTCCTTGGGCAAGACATAATATACAGAAACAAATATACAATGTGGAGAAGAGATAAATATTCTGGAGGAAAATAAAGCAATAAGACATATAGGGAGCGCCGGACATGTTAGCTATTTTATGTAATATTATTGATTCAAGAGTTTGATTACCCTCCTAGAGTATTGCTCTCCTCTCTCTTACATTTGCATTGTAGAAATAATTAGATTTTAATTTAACTAACTCAATATGAATACAAAGATTATAGTTCCTTTCTTCCTGAAAATTATCAGCCTTTTGTTCTAACAAATGTTATTAAATTTCTAGCTTCCCTTCCCTTCCCTTTTTGAAAGTGTGTTGCATTGTTGCCCCAGCTAGAGTGTAGAGGCATTATCACAGCTCACTGTAACCTCAAACTCCTGGGCTGAAGTGATCCTATTGCCTGAGCATCCCAAGTAGATGGGACTAGAGGCACACACCACCACTCCTGGATAATTTTCCTATTTTTTGTGGAGAGAGGATCTTGCATTTACTCAGGCTGCTCTTGAACTCCTGACCTCAAGTGATTCCCTGCCTTGCCCTCTCAAAGTACTGGGATCATAGGCATGAGCCACTATGCACAGACTACTTATTTAATTTTAATAAATATATGTATATGTCTTTGTTTTTTGTTGCTTATAACAGAATATCTGAAGCTGAGTAGATTTTAAAGAAACAAAGTTTATTTCTTATAGTAATGGAGGCTGCATCTGATGAGGGCCTTCTTTGCTGGTGGGGAGTCTGCAGGGCATCATGTGTAACCAGCTGGCTCAGGACTCTCTTTTTTATAAAGCCACATGCTCCACTCCTATGATAACTCATTAATCCATTAATCTATTCATTCAAGGGCTAGCTCTTATAACCCAATCACTTCTTTTTTTGAGACAGAGCCTCAAGCTGTCCCCCTGGGTAGAGTGCTGTGGCACACAGCTCACAGCAACCTCCAACTCCTGGGCTCAAGCCAGTCTCCTGCCTCAGCCTCCCAAGCAGCTGGGACCACAGGCACCCACCAAAACACCTGGCTATTTTTTGGTTGCAGCCATCATTGTTGTTTGGTGGGCCCTGGCTGCATTCGAACCCGCCACCTTAGCCACTTGAGCCACAGGCGCTGAGCCAACCCAATCACTTCTTAAGATCTTACTTCTCAATACTGACACACTGGAGATTAAATTTTAACATGAGTTTTCTAGTGGACAAATATTCTAACTATACCAGCAGTATACATTATATAATAATCACCACAATTAACTGATTAATATTTCCATCACATCTCATATTTACCATTTCCTTTTGTTTTTTTCTGAGAATGCTGAAAATCTGCTCTCAGAAAATTTCAAGTATACAATACACATTTCTGAACTACAGTCATGTTGTGGTATATTGGCCCTCTGGAACTTTGCATAATTGAAATTCCTACCATTGACTAACATCTTCTCCAACTCTAGCCCCTGGCAACTCTGTCAACATATTTCTTAATGTGCTATTGTAATCATTATATCTGTAACCAAAAATCATCAATTCTGTAAGTCACTCCATGAAGCACAAAGATGTTGAAAGTCATTAATATATTTATCAAAAGATGTCACTTAATTCAGGCATAACACTTCTGTCTGAAGTACTTGCTTTTTGGAATCCTTTAAAAAAAATCTGGCCAGTGAATTCTGTGCTTGATATAGAGTCTCTATACAGTATTATCAATTGTGACATGCTTATTTCACCTCTTGATGGTCTTTATTTTGTAAAACAATTTGAGACACTAAAGTCAAATTTTACTTCAGAGCAAAACAACATAGTAAATATCCCAAATAACCCCTTATTGATAGAAAAAAAATAGAATGCTATAGATAGGTAACATACCTAATTTTCAAAGATAAATTTGGATTTATGAATAATGACTTCACGCCCTCTGGGAGTATTTGCTTTGGCAACTAACTTCCATTCTTTTATGAAGTAATCAAACATAGCCCATTTGGAAGTAGGAAAAGAACTTTCAGAAACATAAGTTCTAGTTTTGTATGTTGGTAACATGAATTTTATACATGTACTTAGTTGAACATGAAGAATCAGGAAAAAGGTTTGGAATGTTATGATAATTGTTTAGAATTTTAGATATGCCATTTGACCTTTGAATTCAGTAAATTTCAGCTTCTCAGTGATCCACCTGACCTTATATAGCGACACAAAGATCTATTATTGCCATCACTGAGCGGCTTAAACAATCTGGTTATTAGGGGAACTGGCCCATTTTTAAAGCCGTAGTACTTTAAAAAGTAGCCGAAGCTACTTCATTTTCTAGTTTTCTAATTTTTTATTTTGAAGCCACAATCTTTGTGTTGCTTGGAATAAACGTCCAACACTGGATTGCTTTTCTCTTTTAATTCTGAGTGTATAGCCCAATGTGCCCATGGTTTACGTGGGTTCCTGATGGATGACTAATTGTAAGGTGACATACTGAAAACAAAAAGATGACATATTGAAGCGTTTAGTTCATCCACACAGAAACCTGTCTGACAGGAAGCTGGAAACACGTGAGGCACTTTGATTCTGTTTGGGACGGTCATTTTTTTTTTTTCTTCTCCATTGCTCCAGAACGTTGACCACAATCTTCAGGCACTATTTCCACGTGCCCGGGAACCTTTGTTAGCGCGTCTAACCCTAAAAGAAGCAGGGGCGGGGCTTGGAGGAACGCGCGCGGTCCGCAGCGCAGGCGTCTTTCACAAGTGGGCGGGACTCGCC